GGCCGATGCGGGAAGGCCCACGCGCACACAGCGTGGGCCGCGATCGGCTCGCGGCAGTAAACCGCTGTTGGTCTGTGGCTGTGCTGTTAGGAGCAGCAAAGCACCACCTGCTAGGGACGGCTGAGCTACATACGCCATCGTAAGCCACCTGTTGAACTGACGCAGCGCGACGCCCCTGCAGCTGTCGAGGCCACTGCGGCTGAGTCTGCGGGAGCGGCAGCTGGAGCCACACGACAAGGCTGCTGTCAATGGCGCCAATGAAGCGACCAGCAAGGCTGCCGAGAGCCAGGGCTTCCGCGCAAGGCACCGCCAGCGGGCAGCACGCTGCCGCAAGCCGCCGCGGGGACGCCCCAGCGATGGCGGGTGCGGGAGGAGGGGAAGAGAACCGAACCCAGCCAGCGCTGCGCGGCAAAACCGCCTCGCCACAGGGCTGGCGAGGCGGGGCGCCCCGCAGCTGACGCGGCGGGGCGGGGCGGAAGAGGGCGCCCTCCCTGCCAGCGCAAGCAACGCAGCAGGGAGGCCGCCGGGTCGCCGCGCCTCGAAGCCAGCAGGCGCGGGGTCCAGCTGGGGCAGCGAGGCAGGAGGCAGCGGCCAGAGAGGGAGCCTCCTCGAATGTGACAGCCAGGGGCCACGAGGCCCGGGCAAGGCGCACGGCTGATGGGAAGCGGCACTGGGAGGAGCCAGCAAAGGCGGAGCAGAGGCCCCACCCAGGACCCTCCCTGATTCGGTCATGGCTGCTTCGCCAGGGAGCACGGCGGTCGTGTCTGTGATCGCCCACTTCGTCATGCAACGCCGCACCTGATCGGTGAACATGCATGTGTAGAAGCACCCACCTGGGGGTGTGGCCGCTTCGGTCGCTTCGCACTGGGGCGTGGAGGCCCGCCTGGGGGGGGGGCAGACGCTCCAGCCGTGAGAGGGGGGGGGGCAATCCACCTGGGGGGGCGGACACACCCAAAGGGAAGAGGAGGAGGGAGGGCGCGCCACCTGGGGGGTAGCGCGCCGTTGGGAGAAGCACCTGGTCGGTGTGCATACAGGAAAAACAAGCAAGGGGCCTACCTGGGGGGGGCAGGCACCGTGCAAGTTGTCATTCTTGCCAGGTGCGCCCGAAAGCTCAACAAATGCAGCACTTGGCGTCCAGGATCTGAGAGCGCGTCGCGGGCCGAGGGGACCATCCACCGCGTGCGGGACTGGTCTCCCGCTGGCCAGGAGGCGCCGCTGGCCCTCTTGTTTCCCTGCTGGCCCTCCACCTGCCTGCGCCTCCCGATCCTGCCGCTGCCGCCACACATCGTCCCAGCCGACGTCGATGCGACGGGACCAGCAGAAGACCGGAATGTCATGGTGGGAGGGACGGGTCGCCCAGGAACTGCCTGCACAATCCGTCGTGTCCGCCAGGGTTGTAGCGTCCCTTGCCCCGTCCTTTGCCATCCTTCACGTCGCAGGTGCCTTGAGGCGGTTGATGAGTTCCGGCCAAATTTCCAAACGGTTCTCCCTGGAGCCCTACTGTGGCGTCCAGCGGATGTCGCAGTGAGGCGCCTTGTAGAGGCTGTCGTATAGGTCATTCCAATTGCGGCTGCGTCATGATCATCCCTCCAAACCGCGGGCGCTCTCGGTCGGAGTGTGGCGCTAGTAGGGCGAGGTGCTCCATGAGGTCCCAGAGGGGCCAACTGCGCCGTTCACATCCCAGCTGGACTCCTCAGCGGCCTGGTAGCGAACTGCGCGCGATGCTGAAGCGTCGCAGGACAAGTCTGCGAGTCGCCCCCTCTGGGGCGTTGGCACTGTCGGCGCAGCTGGCGGAGCGGCCCCCTCGAGTGATCCAGGCCAAATGCGCGCAGTCCCTCCCGTCCCAGACCGTGACCCACTCGGCCCCAATTCGAAAGCCACCGGCAAGACAAGAAAAGAACAGGGCCAAAAGGAGCAACCGTGCGCCAACGCAACGGGAAAACTGCCAGGCTCCTCTCTGGCGGGAGGAAGACCACACCGAGCAACGGCCGGGCCAGGAGAGAGAGAGGAGGGGGAAAGAAGGAAGGACGGGGAGGAGCGAGGATGACCAAATGGGGCACTCTCACAGTCAGTCTCTCTGGGCACCGGCCTCCTCTTGACGTCCCGCTTGCAGCAAGGTCGCCGAACGGCTGACCTGGTCAGCATGGGCGCCGACTTCCTGAGGGATCCTGGCCAGCAGAACGCGTGCGTTCGCACGCATCAAAACGATGCTGAGGCCAGAACATAACGAAGTGGTGATGCTGCTTACCGTCTCTTCGCTGCACGCTGCACGGGCTCGACTCAAGCTTCGGAGCACGTCTTGCGCCATCGCGCCCCGTCCGCCGAAGGACTCCACGACCACTGGGGACTAGGCGGATGCCCACTTGCTCGCAGCATATACCAGTATCTCGGAGACAATCGGCCCCCACAATGATATCCACCCCCGCCCGAATGAATCACCCCCCCTGGCGCGCAGAGCGCGCCAGGAGCTGCGCCGAAGGCGCCGCCAGTGGGCTCCCAGCGCAAATCCGAGGACACCGCGCGGACCCCCGAGTTTTGATGCTTATGTCACTGTTTGTTCCCCTATCCTGAGAGATGCGCTGTGTGAACAGCTTGTGGCTGCCTTGTGCACCTGCCATCTGCCGGCCGCCCCCGATGCTGGCCCCGGGGGCCGAACACGGCCCCAGGAGGCCCGGGATCGAGCAGCCCAGCTCGCCCGGAGCCCGGGCGCGCGAGGGGGCGCGGCGGCGTCGCGCGGTGGCCTCCTGAGCCTGGGCACGTTGACGCTGCCCCCCTTGGGGGCGCGCACAAAGGGTTGGGGGGAGGGGGGAGGGCTTCTTAGAAGGAGGCTGCATCTTGGAAGGCGCCAGCTTCACATCTATAGACAAGGCCCGCGCCTTCTAAGAAGCAGGGGTGCTTCTAAGAAGTCCTCCCCCCTCCCCCCACACCTTTGTGCGCGTGGCCGACCCCCCTGGCTCTAAAGTCATACCTTGGCCCTCCAGCGGCCGTTCGGACCGCCCTCGGCGAGGCGCAGCCGTTGGAAGGCACCCCGAAGCTGGAGCGCCGCGGGCTGACGGAAACGCCAGAGGCGCGGGCGCGCGAGAGAGGGCACGGCGGCCTCGCACGGTGGCCCCAAGACCTGGGCGCGGTGGCCTCCTCAGTCCTCCCTGCGGGCCTCAGTCGGGCGGGTGGTCCCGGGGGCGAAGCGAAGGGCCCGCCCTTTCGGGCCCCGCTGGCTCCAAGGGGGGCCCAACGTGCCCCCTTGGGGCCCTTTGCAGCCCCCCCTCCCCCGGGTGGGCCACCCCCCGTTACCACCCGCCCGAACCTCACGCGTTGGCCTCCCCCGTCTTTCCTGCGGGCCCCAGGCCGGGCCAAGAGAGGCCGGCCTCGGGGGGCCCGTAGGCCTGCCGGCCTCCCTGAGATCACCACGCGCCCCGCGCCTTCCCGAGAGGCGGCCGGGGGCCTGACCTCCAGCGCAATCGTGAAACATCAGCACGGAAAATTGTCCGTCGGTCTCGGCGTCTCGGGGCCTCGCTGGGCCCCGGGATTCTTAAAACTGTTCCCCGGCAGCGCCGGCGACCGCAGGCGTGGGGGTCGGCACCAGCGGGGCGCGCTGGGCGCGGGGCGCGGAGGCGGCTGGAAGCGAAGAGGGTGGCCGCGGAGGAGGCCCGTCCGACGAGGACCGACGGGTGACGGGCGCGCGGGCGGCCTGGGGCACCCAGGGGCCCAGTGTGAAGTGCAAGTGCAGGAGGCACGGGCGCAGGCCGATGAAGGAGTGGCCAGCGGGTGGCAAGAAGCGGCCGCCAAGTCGCCAGAGGCAAACTGCCAACTGACGAGGCAGCAGGCAACAACCGGCCGCCAGGTCGCCAGAGGCAAAATGCCAACAGACGAGGCACCAAGACGAGACCTCAGCCAGGAATGTGGGACCAGCGAAGCTGGGGCCGCCGGTGACTGCCGAGCCGGACGGGCGTCCAGGCAGAGGCAGAGCATGCCAGACGCCACCCAATACCAGGTCTTGCCGACCACCATGCGCAGGAAGGTGCGTGCCTGGCGTTGCCCGAAGCCAGGTCAAGCCCAGGAGCGCCGTCGTAGACCGAGGCCACCTAGGCTGAAACCTTCAATAGAACGGGGGACGAGACACCTGCGTCACCTAACTTGGCACATCGCGCCCCGCGATGCGCAATTGTCTTCGCGCCCTCGCGCCCTCCAACCACCCCCTTGGAGAAGGGCAGCCGCTCTGATCCAGACCGCGACGCGCGACATGCGCTCATCTTCGCGCTCCTGGAGGTAACCTACAAACACTGGTCCCCAGGAAGAGCGCCGAGGACCCCGTATTTTTAAACAGCTAGACATCGGAGCCCTGTGTTGCGGGTTGCCCTGTCAAAGGCCAGGAGGGCTTCTTGGAAAAGGCGGGCCTCTGGGATCCCCCTGGCGCCCCGCGCCTGCTGCGAGGCGGGGAGGGGGTGGGGGCCTTCTCAGAATCCCCCCCTCATGGCCCTGCCTCCCTCCATGCGCGCTGCCGAGCTGCGGTGGGAGTGGCCAAGATCCACGGCGCCCCATCGCGCAGAACATTCGGATGCAGACTGGTGACGAGGGCTTGGGGGGCCAGCTCCGCTACGTACCCAGCGGCCCGGTCGCGTCAAGGCTGTGGCGAGGACGATCTGCCGCGCTCTGGTGCGCAACGTGCGCTTGAATTGAAGACCTACAGCGGCCACTACGACCACGACGCCGACGACGACGACGCCGCCGACGACGACGACGGCGGCGACGACGCCGCCAATCAGGTCAGGTCGCAGACGACGACGACGACGACGACGACGACGACGACGACGACGACGACGACGACGACGACAACACGACGGCGGCGGCGGCGGCAGCAAAGGCAGCAGCGGCAGCGACGAAGACGACGACAACGACGATAAGGACGGCGGCGGCAACCACGATAGAGTCGCCGACGCCGACGCCGACGCCGACGACGACGAACTGGACCGACGGCGACGATAACGGCGGCGGCACCGTGCCTGAACCCTCTTGCGTCTTCAGCTTGCCGACCTGGCCAGAGGGAGAGGAGGGATGAGAAGGAGCAGCATGAGCAGGAGGAAAGGGAGGAGGGGGACTGCATGACTGTATGACTGCATGGGGGCGGAACCCCCTCTCCTCAGAGCTGGCAACAACTACCCCTCAGCAGGTTCTTCAGGAGGAGGGGAAGGAATGAGGGAGGAGGGAGGGGGGCGGGCGGGAGGGAGGGGGGCGGGATGGAGGGAGGGAGGGAGGGAGGGGGGCGGAAGGGAGAGAGGGAGGAGGGAGGGAGGGCGGGATGGAGGGAGGGAGGGCAAGGTTTGTCGACCTGGCCGTTGAGGTCGAGCGCTCCGCCGCCCAGGCCGCAGATGCGCGCCTCGGCGGGCGCGGCCGCCTGCCGTCGCCGCAGCGGCGGCGGCCTGCGGCGGCCCGGGCAGCGGCGCGGAGGCTGGCGGCACGGACACAAGGAACCAGGGGAACCCGAGGATGGCCTCTTCTAAAGAAAAGAAGCCAAGGAACCCGGGGGACCCGAGGAAGGCCTCTCACAAAAATACAGACGAAACACGGCCCCCAAGGAACCCGCAGCTAAAAACACGAAACACGACCAAGGAACCTGAGGAGCCCAAGGAACCCGAAGAAAACCTCACCCAAGAGCCTGGGCAACGCCTTGTACAGAAACATCCAAAGAACCCTGGGGACCCCCATTAGCAAGAAAACAAAAACCAGCAACCCAAGAGAACCCTGGCGCGACCGCGACTGGCACCCACCGGTTTCTTCACATACGAAAGAGCGTGTTCTACCGCTGCTGGCGGAAAACTAAGGGGGGTCACTGGGGGTTCCCAACCCGTCCCCCCCCCCTACGAAAACCAGGGGGGGGTCACTACCGGTTCGAGCCCCGCTCTCCCCCCCCCCGTCCATCATGACAAAGGGGGCGTCACTATACCGGTTCGAACCCCCCCCTCGCCGCCGGCAAACGATTCCCACTCCTCGGGACAGTGGGACAGTGGTGGGAACACCGGGACAGTGGTGAGGACGGTGGTGGTGGGGACAGTGGTGTGGGGACAGTGGGACACTGGTGGGGACAGTGAGACAGTGGTGGGGACGGTGGTGGTGGGGACAGTGGTTAGGGGACAGCGGGACAGTGGTGGGGACAATGGGGACAGTGGGACGGTGGTGGGGACGGAAGTGGTGGGGACAGTGGTGAAGGTGGTGGTGGGGACGGTGGTGGGAACAATGGTAGTGGGGAGAGTGGTGGGAACCGCGGGGACAGTGGGACAGTGGTGGGCACAGTGGGGACAGTGGGACAGCACAGTGGGACAGCGGCGGGGGCAGTGGAGACAGTGGGACAGTGGTGGGAACAGTGGGGGACAGTGGTGGGGACAGTGGGGACAATGGGGAGAGTGGGACCGTGGTGGGACAATGGTGGGGACAGTGCGGACAGTGAGACACTGGTGGGGGCACTGGTCGGGACAGCGGGGACAATGGTGGGAACAGTGGTGGTGACAGTGGGACAGTGGTGGGGACGGTGGTAGTGGGGAGAATGGTCTGGGGACAATGGGACAGTGGTGGGGACAGTGGGGACAGTGGGACAGTGGTGGGGACGGTGGTGGTGGGGACAGTGGTGAGGGCGGTGGTGAGGACCGTGGTGGGACAATGGACAGGGGTACAGTGGTGGGGACAGTGGTGGGAACAGAGGGACAGCTCAGTGGGACAACTCAGTGGGACAGCGGCGGGGACAGTGGGACAGTGGGGACCGTGGGGACAGTGGGACAGTGGTGGGGACCGTGGGGAAAATGGGGAGAGTGGGACCGTGGTGTGGTGGGAGTGGTGGGGACAGTGGTGGTGGGGACGGTGGTGCTGGGGACAACGGTGGGGGATGTGCTGCGGACGGTGGTGGGGACCCGGGAATCGTTTGCCGGCGGTGAGGGGGGGGGTTCGAAGCGGTAGTGACCCCCCTCTGTTTTCTGAGGGGGGAGGGGGTTCGAACCGGTAGTGACCCCCCCCTGGTTTTCCGGAGGGGGGGGGGACGGGTTAGGGGGGGTTTTGCCGGGGAAAAGGGGGGGGGCAGGGGGGGGTTCCAGCAGGGGGAGGGATTTTCGAAGGAGGGGGGACCCTCGGGTTCCAGAGGAAGGGGGGGGGAATTTTCCACAGTAAAGCGGCGGTGGATCACGCTCTCTCTCATATACAAGTCAGAGCGCCTGAGGCAAAGCCTAAAAAGGGAACATCATTCAAGCATATAGAATCGCGCCCCCTGGACAATACTGCTTTGAACGCGCTGGAGCTTAGAACGAACAGCAAACAAAAGGTTAAGACGAGACCGGTGCCAAACGAACACGAAAAACGAAACGAGGCCGCCATTCAGCGAGGCAGCAAAGCGAAAAACGAAACGAACTTCGCAGACCACGTTGAAAACAAAACAAGAAACGAAACGAAGACATGGGACCATAGCTGGGGCCAGGACAGCACCGACTGTGGTTTGGGACCAGGGCGAAGGCGAAGGGAGAGGTTATGGCTGGGACTTGAACCAAAACAGCACCTACGGAAAACTGACAAACAAAAACGAACCAGGGCTGCGGCGAGGGCAGCGCTACAGGGCTGGGGCTAGAGCGAGGGGCGAGGTCCTTTTTGAGGCTTGTGCGAAAACAAACGAAAAACGAAACGACTGACAATCTCGGGTTGCGGCGACGGCTATGGCCTGGGGCTCCAGCGAATGTCCAAATTCTGGGCTGGGCTTGAACAAAACAAAACGAAAGACTAACTCGGACTGCGGCTGCGGCTGAGGGTTGGGCTAAGGCGGTGGGCGAGATTCTAGCTGGGGCTTGTGCAAAGCCAAACGAAAACCAAACGAATAACGAAACGAATGCTGGAATACCTTTCCAAAACGGCGCGCGCACCACAAGTGGTGCCCCACGGGCGGGTGGGTCACCAGAAAGCTGGTTGAAGCAAACCAATTGTTTCACTTGCACCCTGGGCCTCAACATGAGGCGGGACAGTCCCGATTATTCCCCCGCAGTTCGTTTCCCGCACGGCGCGCGAACCACTGAAAGTGCCCCGCGGGTGGGTGGGTCACCAGAAAAATGGCCGAGAAAAACCAGTTGTTTCACTTGCATTGTGGGCGTCAACATGACGCGGAGCATTCTCGACCATTTCCGCGTCATACGTTCCCCGTACGGCGCGCGCACCACAAGAAGTGCCCCACGCAATACGTTTCCCGTAGGGTGCGCGCACAACATGAGGTGACACACGGGCGGGTGGGTCACCAAAAATTGGTTGACAAAACCACCTTACCTGGTTCAATTGCATTCTGGGCCAACATGAGTTGACGCACTCTCGACAATAATCGCGCTATACGTTGTCCACACGGCGCGCGCACCACAGGCGGTGCCTCACGGGCGGGTGGGTCACCAGAAAAACTGGTTGAAACAGTTTGTTTCACTGGCATTCTGGGCCTCAACGCGGGGTGATGCATCCCACGCACCAGGTGATGCATTCCCACGCAATAAGTTTCCCGAAGGGCGCGCGCACAGCAAAAGGTGACCCACAGGCGGGTGGGTCATCAGAAATCTGTTTGAGAAAAACCAATTGTTTCACTTGCATTGTGGGCTTCAACATGACGCGGAGCATTCTCGACCAATCCAGCGCCATACTTTCCCCGTACGGCGCGCGCACCACAGGAAGTGCCCCACGCAATACATTTCCCGTAGGGCGCGCACGCAACAAGAGGGGACCCACGGGTGGGTGGGTCACCAGAAAAACGGCTGAGACAAACAATTTGTTTCACTTGCATTCTGGGTCTCTACATTCGGTGATGCGTTCCGGATCATTCCCCCGCAAGACGTTTCCTGTGCGGCGCGCGCCACAGAAGGTGCCCCACGGGCGAGTGGGTCACCAAAAAACTGGCTGAGACTAACCGGTTCACTTGCATGCTGGGCCTCGACATGAGGTGAGGCATTCTCGACCATTGTCCCGCAATTCGTTTCCCGTGCGGCGCGCGCACCACAGAAGTTGGTTGCCCCATGGGCAGGTGGGTCAACAGAAAACTGCTTGTGAAAAACCAGCTATTTCGCTTGCATTCTGGGCCTCAACATGAGGTGATGCATTCCCACGCAATACGTGTTCTGTAGGGCGCGCCTCACGCCCCCACAGGAAAACTGCCAGATCCTGCTTTTAGGTGAGATTCCGTTTTTGTCGAATCCCCCTCCCAAAAACAACTAAACGAAAAGCGGAACGAACACCCACCCACAGCTGCGGCTGGGACTACGGCAGGGGCTGGGACCCAGGCTGAAGATCAGGCCAGGAGCACAGTAACAATATCAGGGGATGAAACAACGAAACGAACAACGAGACGAACGCCTGGAAACTGTGGCCAAGGCGAGGGCCGAGATTACGGCTAAGGCTCGAACACGGTAAAATGCAAGCAAACACGAAACGAAAGACGAAACGGAAAGAACGCCCAGAACTTTGGCTGCGGCTACGGCAGAGGCTGGGGCCCAGGCTGAAGCTCAGGCCAGGAGCGCAATAAAACAGTAAGAGTAACACAAACAGCACGAAACGCAAAACGAAAGCCCAAAAGCTATGGCTAAAGCGACGGGCGAAATGATGGCTGGGCCTCGGGCCACCGAACACGAACACCAACTTCAACAACATAAAGAAAAACGAAACGATCCATCAAGCAAGAAACGGTATTTTGTTAAACGCAATACGACTATCGAAAGACAACGGCGGCGTGAAACAAAGCGGACAAGGAAACGACCCGCGGAATGAGCAGAGCCAACAAAACGAAAACGCAACCTTGAAATCGCAACAAAACAAAGCGAAACACGACACGCGCACCCAACAGCATGAATATACATGAAACGCGTTTGAACCAAAACCAACGACACAACGGAGCAACAACCAAAAACGAAACGAACTACAAAATAAGGCCAAAACCAAGACAAACAGTGTTGTGCCGGAGCCTTGTATAAGTCGATCCTCCTTTTCCTCCAACTCCTCCTCACTTCCTCCCTCCTAGCCCCTCTTCCCTCGAGAGGGTTGGGCGCGCGCACGTGAGAGGGGCGCAGCGCGCCCGAGCCGCGCCGCGGGCCATGGTGGCGTCGGCCTGATCAAGGCCCGCCAGGAGAAAGGCGACCAAGGCCGGGAATCGTTTCGGCAAAGTCGTCATCGTGAAGGGCGTTGTGATGCACCAAACCCGCCAAGCGACCAAGACCGGGAATCGTTTCGGCAAAGTCATCAACGTAAAGGGCGTTGTGATGAACAAGACCCGACGGAAGAAGCAGACCAAGGCCGGGAATCGTTTCGGCAAGTCGCCATCGTGATGGCCTAGTTTTGAGGGGCGCGTGGAGGGCGCCTCAAGTGGCGGAGCCTCTCTGAAGGGGCCCTGAGGCGGCAAGTGACGGGCGACGAGGTTGACCGTCGG